GGTCATATTAGTTGCCTCTCTGAGTACCCTCTACGCACAGAATACCTTGCTCACACTTTCAGACATGCTAGAAGTAGCATAGATACTTTCAAATGTGAGATAAATATGTGTTGCGTGAGAGGGCAACCATCGCTTTGAGCCAATTTCGAAAGTAGTATGTTCCCGATTTCCCCACCCAACAATCATCTAAAAGCCTTCAAGATTCGAGTCCCAGCGGTCTTTGAACCATGACCGAGGTTCAAGCGCTCTTTAAACCTGTAGCACTAAGCAGAAATCCATCTGAAAAAAGGGCCTCAACGAAAGAATGTAGCCACTGAACTGGCAATGAATAAGATTTCAAAAAGCAATATTGTCAAAAATGTACCAACGTTTCTCTTCTCTTGTCCTCCGAAAGTCAAAATAACGACCCTGACCTCCTATCCGCGCAGCCCTACTGCAGCGGACAGGGACCCATGTTGGAGAACTTACAACGTGTCTTGAGGCAGGAATATTTTCTCGAACCTGTACCAGGTCCGAGCTGAACCTGTGTCGTGAATCTAAATAAGCAATGGTAGAAGCAAGATTTCTATTGTTTAATGTGTTTGTTTTTAAGTGGACCGTGCTAAAAAGTGGGCCGTGCTAAAAAAACGTAAGTATGGTTTGTGTGCTTTACTCGAGTGGTGCGTTACTCCATCAGGCCTATTATCATTCCTTTAATGTACTTTGCCCTACTACATACAGACACTAAGCCAAATGTGGCTACTGTTTTACGACTGATAACCGCAAATTCCGAGAATTCCTCTGAAAACTGTAGTTTTTCAGATTGACGGAGTCCGCTACTACATGAACGATAACCGCCTTCCACCAGAATCAACGTTCTATTTCACCGATTCACTTTTATTCGATTCTGTGCCGATTTTTGTGGTGAAGAAGCGGATCTCAAGAACTGGCGAGCGGACTATCCCGACAGGACTAAGGCTTTAACAAAGATAAGTCATCGGTGTGATATTGGACAACGAGCATGCGGCTTAAAGTGTTGCTATGGAGAAGCCGACATAGTGCAGAAGGTAAAAAAATAGACATAACAATAGTTAATATTT